ACGTACATACAAATCTATACTCGTGTAGACCCACCATGCAAAACATGAGAAATAGGCAACAATCGTCAATGGCAACANGTATATGCAAAAGCATTTCCATATATGAACAAACATGTGTTTATAGACATACATTTATACGTACATACAGATCTATACTCGTGTATGGCATTGATGTTAGAGTATAGAAAAACAACAAAATGTGCTGCGACTTATATTTTCTTTTTCCTTTTTTTAAATACAAAGCAGAGGAAACGGAAATGTAAACCTGTGGCAGCAATACATGCTTCCACCACTTTGGTGTTTAACCAATTTCTGCTTCCGTAAAAGTTGCCACTCAAACTACGACTGCTTTTACTACTACATCCTCTTCACATTGCTTGTTTATGCTTTAAGGAAATAATTAAACGTAAGATTATGCCTTTGCATGAGTTGACATTGCATTAAGGTACTTATCTACCTGTTTATTAAATACAAAGCTGGTAAACGGAAACGATAAGGATCAAAAATAAGCTATCAATAGCGAAACAAATATTCAACGTAGGCAAGGCAGGTGAGATTTTACGTGGAAATCAAAAGCGCTTTTGGGATTAGGCAGTGCCTACAAATGTCTTTATCAGTAAAGTTAAGACGTTTTGGAAACCATTCTTTTAATCTACAAGTGCTGCCCAAAATTGAGCGGGCGGGTAGCCAAAAAAATAACTACGTTACATCGCATCTGTGTTGCCAGATGTGGGGATTTCACCCCATTTTGGGGATTTCTGAAACTATTTGGGGATAGATTTTTTCGTTTGGGGATGTGTGGATTTGATGGGGATTTTTGTTTGGTTTAAAATATTCATATTGAAATTAAAATACATACATTTTACTGCCTGCCCTTAAAAATTTCTCAAACAAAGATTTTCTTTGTCAAAGTGTTATTCGTGGAAAATGTCTGTTTTAATGGCTTTCGCTGAACACACAATTTTCTCTCACTTCATTACACCAAATTGTAAAAGGATCGCTGTGATAGGCATTTACCGAATGGACTGCATATATTTCTGATTTCCTTAGTGTGAAAAGAATTTTACAAAGTGGCAAGCACACAAAAAAAAAATTGACGAACTTACAGACAGCAATGGGAATAGGAACCTTGGGCCGAAGGTATGTCTCCGAAATAGTCTCCAAAAACCATAAAAAATAAGAAACCGCTATACGTAAATAACCAAATGATCTCATATTCATTCAGTATTCAAAACTGTAATTAAAACGAAGTAACAGAAATGAGAATGCANGTTATTCGTGGAAAATGTCTGTTTTAATGGCTTTCGCTGAACACACAATTTTCTCTCACTTCATTACACCAAATTGTAAAAGGATCGCTGTGATAGGCATTTACCGAATGGACTGCATATATTTCTGATTTCCTTAGTGTGAAAAGAATTTTACAAAGTGGCAAGCACACAAAAAAAAAATTGACGAACTTACAGACAGCAATGGGAATAGGAACCTTGGGCCGAAGGTATGTCTCCGAAATAGTCTCCAAAAACCATAAAAAATAAGAAACCGCTATACGTAAATAACCAAATGATCTCATATTCATTCAGTATTCAAAACTGTAATTAAAACGAAGTAACAGAAATGAGAATGCATATTTTTTTATTTCTTACTTAAAGGGATTTAAATGGGGATTTAGAAGAAAAATGGGGATTTTTTGGGGATAACTGCGGCTCGATATAGGGATGCGCTATACAAAAATTCTGGCAACACTGCGACCAAACCAAAACTGACCAGCGCGAGATTTCAACAAAAAATAAAACAACTACGACGAATCAAATTATCGCTTTCTGCGATACAAAAAATAAAAAACAAAAGCATAAGGTTAAACCAAAAAACTTTGCCAAACTCTTAAACACCTAAAAGTGTGCTTCGGCTCTGCTATTGATGGCTTATTGTTTTTGTTGCCGGCTGCAAGTGGCAACGAGCGCCTACCAAAACTTTTCTAATTTTGCTTACTAAGCTCATAAAACTACAACATCACCGAATAAAATGAAAACACAAGTGTACAGCAGCAACAAAACCAATAAACTTTTAAAAACTTTTCACATTTACGTACAGATTTATTCACGAGCCAAAATGTCTACAATATTCTTAGATGTAATTACTGTCATTTAACTGATCAACAAATGCACGGGGCGTGGCAAGAAAATTCTGAAGTATGTAATACATACAACCTTGGCATCAAAACGAATATTAAAAGCTTGGCTAAGTGCGCAATAATGAACTCCGTTTGAAGATATTAAAAAGAAATACAAAATAATATCTTCTATAGAGATTTTTCGTCCGATAACAAATAGAACTAAAGGCTTCGATTTGTCGAATACTCAGCAGTCTATCGAATCAGCGTTTTTTTTTTGTTTTTGTAACCGCGGAAATAGATTTCTTGACGCAAGAACAAAAAAATATGTGTTTAAAACGTTTTAAATCAATATCATCACAAAAACTTAAAATATTTCATTTTGTCAAGCCATTCTAAAGGTCAAAGTAATTGTTTCATCCAACACGACTATTTTTCTTGAAATCTGCAGCTCAAAAGCTTCAAGCCACCGTTACATTTACTTATTTCAAAATTTCTTCTCGTTTTGAAGTTATTGGAATTTTTGTATTTTTTTCCAAAACAGAACACCGTGCGGCATAGTTCCTTATGCCGTTTATGAGATTATCACGTACGCATGTATGTAGGTAGTTGTTTACAACTATCTTTTTGTGTACACATTTGGCAAGCACTTTGCCGTGTGCATTGGAGCCGTGCATATTCTTGCCGTTATGCAGGCAAATTCAATTGTTGGCTGTCTATGCCATGGTTGTTGGTACAAGTTGTCGTTTTAGTCTACAATAGATATTTGCAGGCTCGTTGTTGTATTCTAGTTGTAGCTGTTGTTATTACTGTTCTTGTCGTTCATAATTGGCATTTGAATTCCTGCTGGAACAATGACTGCGCGCACGCGCCTGACACAAATATAATTTACGACCAAATCAGTGGCAATCTCTACACAATCCAGACTTTCTATGCAAACACTCACTGACATACATTAATCTACATAGTATTTCGATACTATTGTCTCCCCAGCGATGACAGCATTGCAACTCCAACGCATACAGCTACCTTTACAAAGCTATCAACTATTTAACTACCTCTCCACAGCTTTTGTCGATGACAGCAACGCTTAACTATTTCACCTAATTAATTTATGTATCTGCTCAAACTACATATTAACAGTACAAAAGCATGGAAGCGTGTGAGTGTTTATGGTCGTGTGTTTGTGTAGCTAAAGTCGCTTTGTCACCTCTGCAACAAAAAACAAATGCCAAATATGTCGATAATTAAATGCCATATTTATAGTAAAGACTTTACAACAGGTTGGGCCTAATTTCCGCACAAATTCCTAAACAATTTTTAGGAAGATTTTCGAATACGCATTGACTTGTGATAAGTGATAACCGACATATTTAGAGTATGCCTACACGTTAGGGTGGGCCAATATTTTTTACTATGTGCGAGTAGCATTGGAGCATTCTACGTGTAATTCTGAGCAAAATCTCGGTAGAATTCGTTGGATCTAAAATCAATTTGGAGTTTGCCAAATAGCGAAAATAGGTGTCCAAGAAAATTTTAAAAATTTTCACTTTTGCGTCCTCTGGTGGAATTTTTAAGAAAGATGCAAGTGCAGAAATGGATTTCGCGTACCAAAAACCCCCTTAGAGCATGTTTTTATACAAAATTTAAGCACTTCTTTACGAAACTATAGCAAAATGCGAAGAAATTTATTTTCGCAATTTAACAAACTCGTAATTGATTTTAGACACATGGTTTCTTTAGCAAATTTGCTTATAATTACTCGTATCGAATCCTTCTGTGCGATACGCCCACATTCGAGAAAATCTCCCAATCAAATTGACCCGCCCTAATATACATGCATATGTAATTACGTTAATTCCAAGCGTATTTGAAATCATCAATGCGAGAAATCAAAACGACGTTGACAGTATACAGAAAGCAGGCAGTAAGGACACTCAGAAGGCCGCATTTGAAGGCATCATTAGATTGCTTGCTGTCGCATGTCAAGGTGGAATTTATTGTCAGCCAGTTTGCACGATTATAGACATAAATAAATATAAACAAAAACAAAAAGATAGACATAGAAACTGCGCAGTTATCCTTCTTGGTTTGCGCAAAAGTATTTATGTAAAGGACTTGATTGCTGGTGCATTCTTGCATGAACTCAGTACTTTGCTTATTTGTATACTAAGGCCATTTGTACTCGCATCGGTATGTGTTTGTTATGACTGAATTTTTATGCAAGTTACATAAAAATTAAATGAAAATATTCTTGCCTGGAATAATTTTCTAATATCTAACAACTACTTACGTAACTACATAAGTATGCATGCTTAAGTACATACCACTATGAATGTACCAAAAAACAATTAAATTAAATTAATATTGACAGTTAACGAAAAAATATAATCCGCTATAGTTCATACAGCGATTCGATCAACACTTGCGGCAGTTTAGCGATTCATTACAAGGACTGCTGCTCATTAAGCTGGAAACGCCCAGGGTTTGTAAGCTAACTGGTAGAACCATACATATCTTAACAATTATTAGCACATTTTCGTAAGATCAAATAAAACTCGTATAAAGTTCGGATTTTTGGAATGCTCAGATTATAATATATTTTGCCTCTGCATATATGTAAGTATGAGTTGCTAGCGATAAGTTATGTACATAAGTATAATAACTACAGTAAATATATATAATATGCATGTTTTATATATCTCAAGAGTCAAGTGGTTTCGCGATTGATTAGTGGTCACAGCAAAAAAACATTAAAAGGACATCAATGCACTCACATTACATGTGTTTACTTAATAATTTTTGTGAAAAAAAAGTTTGCACATATTGCCATTGGTATCCTCATAGTGCTTTTTAGGATCCTTCAATGCATGCAAGACTTTGTAGTCTATCTACAATTTGTGACTTCACGACGGCGTCGGCAAGTCTCTAATTCACGATCGAACCAATAGCCGGTCGGACATCTTAAGGGCTTCACTTTGCCAGAACGGCACACGTAGAAGCGGTGACACCATTTAGCATCCACTAGGAAGGTGCCGTCGTCTAAGTTACGACAATCTTTCGAAGAAGTCTTTACACGAACTATATGTTTATTTTTTTTGTCACCATCATAGTCATCGTAATCCCATTGCGTTTGAGGACAAACAGTGGTTACTACACAGGGCGGAGTTGTTGTCTCACAAGGTGGTGTTGTTGTTTCACAAGGCGGTGTTGTGGTTTTGCAAGTTGTAGTTGTTGATTTGGTAGTTTTTGGGGTAGTGGTTTTCGTTGTCTTCTCGGTTGTTGTCTTTGTAGTTTTTGTTGTCGCACAAGCTGTTGTTGTTGTCTCACATGCTGGTGTTGTTGTCTCACACGTTGGGGTTGTAGTTTTGGTAGTCTTTGGGGTAGTGGTTTTCGTTGTCTTCTNATCCGCTATAGTTCATACAGCGATTCAATCAACACTTGCGGCAGTTTAGCGATACATTACAAGGACTGCTGCTCATTAAGCTGGAAACGCCCAGGGTTTGTAAGCTAACTGGTAGAACCATACATATCTTAACAATTATTAGCACATTGTCATGCGTAAATATACCGTTTCAGTGCGACATACTTACAAGTAAATTAATGCAAATAATGCCAACATTTGTCGCATCCCTTAAGTCAAGTCACTGAGGCGATATGCCAAGCCATTGCATACTGAAATGATTTTGAGCGAAAGGGATTGGCAAAATTATGCATGGCTGCATTTGACGGCACATTCGTATATACATACATACATACATACATATGTATGTATGCATGTAGATCCGGAGTCAATGCTTGCATCAATACTATACCCAGCTAGCATTTGGAAGATTGTTCGGTGATTTATAGCATTCTCAAGTCATTTTCAAGCCGCATACTTAGAAGAATTCTTACCTGCCATGAACTAACTCCTACAAGCGCTAACAGAAACTTAACAACAAAAAAGGAAGTTTTCTAATCCATTAAAATTTTAGTAGCGTTTTTGAAACATTTTTAACTGGAAAAAATTTTCGTAAGATCAAATAAAACTCGTATAAAGTTTGGATTTTTGGAATGCTCAGATTATAATATATTTTGCCGCAGCATATATGTAAGTATGAGTTGCTAGCGATAAGTATGTACATAAGTATAATAACTACAGTAAATATATATAACGTGCATGTTTTATATACCTCAAGAGTCAAGTGGTTTCTCGATTGATCAGTGGTCATAGCAAAAAACATTATAAGGACATCAATGCATTCACATTACATGTGTTTACTTAATAATTTTTGTGAAAAAAAAGTTTGCACATATTGCCATTGGTATCCTCATAGTGCTTTTTAGGATCCTTCAATGCATGCAACACTTTGTAGTCTATCTACAATTTGTGACTTCACGACGGCGTCGGCAAGTCTCTAATTCACGATCGAACCAATAGCCGGTCGGACATCTTAAGGGCTTCACTTTGCCAGAACGGCACACGTAGAAGCGGTGACACCATTTAGCATCCACTAGGAAGGTGCCGTCGTCTAAGTTACGACAATCTTTCGAAGAAGTCTTTACACGAACTATATGTTTATTTTTTTTGTCACCATCATAGTCATCGTAATCCCATTGCGTTTGAGGACAAACAGTGGTTACTACACAGGGCGGAGTTGTTGTCTCACAAGGTGGTGTTGTTGTTTCACAAGGCGGTGTTGTGGTTTTGCAAGTTGTAGTTGTTGATTTGGTAGTTTTTGGGGTAGTGGTTTTCGTTGTCTTCTCGGTTGTTGTCTTTGTAGTTTTTGTTGTCGCACAAGCTGTTGTTGTTGTCTCACATGCTGGTGTTGTTGTCTCACACGTTGGGGTTGTAGTTTTGGTAGTCTTTGGGGTAGTGGTTTTCGTTGTCTTCTCGGTTGTCGTCTTCTCGGTTGTTGTCTTTGTAGTTTTTGTTGTCGCACAAGCTGTTGTTGTTGTCTCACACGCTGGGGTTGTAGTTTTGGTAGTCTTTGGGGTAGTGGTTTTCGTTGTCTTCTCGGTTGTCGTCTTCTCGGTTGTTGTCTTTGTAGTTTTTGTTGTCGCACAAGCTGTTGTTGTTGTCTCGCAGGGTGGTGTTGTTGTTTCACATGGTGGTGTTGTTGTCTCGCAAGTTGTAGTTGTTGATTTGGTAGTCTTTGGAGTAGTTGCTTTCGTTGTCTTCTCGGTTGTTGTCTTTGTAGTTTTTGTTGTCTCACAAGGTGGTGTTGTTGTTTCGCAAGGCGGGGTTGTTGTTTCACAAGGCGGTGTTGTTGTTTTACAAGGTGGTGTTGTTGTCTCACAAGGTGGTGTTGTTGTTTCACAAGGTGGTGTTGTTGTCTCGCAAGGTGTAGTCGTTTTGGCTACTGTTTTACAAGAACACGAGGCTGCAGTTGTTGTCTCGCAGGGTGGTGTTGTTGTCTCGCAAGTTGTAGTTGTTGATTTGGTAGTCTTTGGGGTAGTTGTTTTCGTTGTCTTCTCGGTTATTGTCTTTGTGGTTTTTGTTGTCTCACAAGCTGTTGTTGTTGTTTCGCAAGGCGGGGTTGTTGTTTCACAAGGCGGTGTTGTTATCTCGCAAGTTGTAGTTGTTGATTTGGTAGTCTTTGGCGTAGTTGTTTTCGTTGTCTTCTCGGTCGTTGTCTTTGTAGTTTTAGTTGTCGCACAAGCTGTTGTTGTTGTCTCACAAGGTGGTGTTGTTGTCTCGCAAGTTGTAGTCGTTTTGGCTACTGTTTTACAAGAACACGAGGCGACAGTTGTTGTCTCGCAGGGTGGTGTTGTTGTTTCGCAAGTTGTAGTTGTTGATTTTGTTGTCTTTGGGGTAGTGGTTTTCGTTGTCTTCTCGGTTGTTGTCTTTGTGGTTTTTGTTGTCTCACAAGCTGTTGTTGTTGTTTCACAAGCTGGTGTTGTAGTTTTTGTAGTCTTTGGGGTCGTGGTTTTCGTTGTCTTCTCGGTTGTTGTCTTTGTAGATTTTGTTGTCGCACAAGCGGTTGTTGTTGTTTCGCAAGGCGGGGTTGTTGTTTCACAAGGCGGTGTTGTTGTTTTACAAGGTGGTGTTGTTGTCTCACAAGGCGGTGTTGTTGTTTCACAAGGTGGTGTTGTTGTCTCACAAGGCGGAGGTTTAGTTGTACAAGATTCTCCTGAGCCGCCATCATCGTCGCCGTCAGCCGGTGCTGCTTCATTCGTACCATCATGGGTCACGCGACAGTTAGCAAGCTCAGCATAAGTACAAACGTTTGTATCCGAATCGAAAAGCAATCCTCTGGGACATTTACGAGGAAAGGCTCTATGTCCTTTACAGATATAATATTTCCGACAATTATATTCATCCGGCAAGAGCACGCCATTGCTACGTACCGAACAGTCTGGCTTTGGCAGCCTGGCGGCGAAAGCTTCAGGAGCCAGCACAAAAACTAGTAGTAGCAATTTAACTGGAAATTAAGAAATTTTTAGGAAATTTGTGTCTGATAGTTTTTTGAATCAAAAGCGATCGTAACAAACTTACTCGGACTCATCTTTGCACTACTCTATTTGCAGGATCGATGTGTTAAGCACACACTTTTCTACTACTTTGGAAACGAAGCAGCTGCAACTTATATATGCTGCAACAATTAGCTGCGGGTCCACTAATTACATTTCGCTATGCAGGCGAATGCATAAATATTTAGTACTTGAGATTTCCTGTTCCGCATGTTGAAATAACATTTGCACTACAAGCGACTACAGCATACCTGGAGACTGTTAACATTTTACATTTGCAATTACTAAATACTTAACTGATAAGAATTTTTTTCTCTCATTGTGATTGAGATAAATGTTTAGGTCTAAACATTGTTTTACTTGCTGCACGAGGCAATAAAATTATTAAATTAATTACTGTTTAGTATTATTATGCTAGAATTATTGTGCCGTGAAGGTTGCCTTTAGTTAAGTCTGTGCAGTGCTTACTGGGCTCATATGATAGCCGTTCAAAAAACGTCTTGAACTTTCATAGCCATTAAGACTCATTTAGGGTCCAGAGTGACTAGAATATGTTCTTTTAAAATATTTATTTGAAGAAAAAGTTAGCCAACCACTTACAAAAATGTGTAAACGATAAAGTAATAAATTAGCTAGAACCATTTGACGTCATTTTCCGGTTGTAATAGATACATATTTCTACCGAGAATAGATGCAAGTTGGTCAATATGTATTTAACTGAAACATTCTTCCAGTTGTTTTACAAGCTGTTATCTGTTAAATGATTGAAACAAAGTGGTCGACAGACCGGTAGAAAATTGCACTGAACGAAAAATTATTGTAAAAGTCTAAGCGGTAGAAGTTATAGCTGCTATTTCGGATACCACCACATCTCCTCATTAGACTATTTTTTTCTAGACTTCAGGGGGGATCGAACCCGCTTCATCGATGTGCTAAGTCAAAAGCGCTAGCCACTGAGCTGTGCACACTATTTCATGTATGGAGTTGACAATAAAAACCACGCTGACAAATTTAAATAGCGGCTAATCAGCTGCACTATATGAAATCTATAAAAACGTAGTATGATGAGGAGATGTGGTGATCTCCGAAATAGCAGCTATAACTTCTACCGTTTAGACTTTGTTGTTTTTTTTTCATTTTTCCTAACAAACAAATCGTGGTACAAAGCTCAATAACACTTTTGACACATGTGTATTTAAATTTTACATTTTAGGAACTAATTCAGTGCGTATGAAGACAGCTCAGGTATGCCATTTCCAAATGGGTTTTCAGCTTTTTAGTTTTATTGTCAACATTTTAGTTGAATTGATTTCTGCGAAATTTAAAATGTGCATTGAAGTGCTTAAAAGTGAAAGTTAAGTATGTAAGTACAAGTATATGTAGGTGCAATTGTTCCTTAGAGCGACACAAAAAGTAAATTTAGGCCGAGACACTATATTAGAACGTAATTTTGAATTTACGTAATAATTTAAAATTACGTAAATATCAATCACACGCTCAAATGTGCTTCCAATGAGCTGAGAAATAAGATTATAATGAAAAATTGCAAACAAATTTGTAAAACATATTTACAGCAAGATTTCAATTATATGCCAATTTGCACTACTCTTATCACATTTAGAGCTTCGGTATTAAGTAATACTTGCAAATTGTTAAATGATTTGCTGCATGTAAACATAACCACGAAGGATATAGTAGATACATATCCAATAATAGTAATTGAATTATGAGGTTTTGTGATTTACTCAAATGTAATTAAGTTTATTTATGAATGTACAAACATATGTACGTATGTATATGAATGTATGTAAGGCTTACAATCATCACATAATAAACAATAAGCTTCAATTATAACATTGATTACATTGCAGGTGACAGAGTAGTTGTGTGTAGTAAGAAAATAATTTATGCGAAAATGTAAAACAGAAATTTCAAACTGAAGTATTTTTTTCTTCTGAAAGGTTTAGTTATTTCGAGAATTATAGTTCTTTTACCCAACTCTATTTCGGGATGCTTCACGAAGGAAATTTTTCGGATTTCGTTAGATCGGCTTGCAATTTAGCTCAAATTAAGTTTAGTTGTAAGAAAAATTTATGTAATTGTATATCTACTTTTATGTGTAAAGATGTTACTTTTGCTGTAACAAAGAATCTCCAAATATTTAGAAACTTTATTTAAAAAAAAAAACTTAAGCTCACACAAGCAGCTGTTCGTTAAGCGTAAGTATCTACTTACAAATATTTACATATGTATAAAGGCAAGATGAAATGCTTAACATGAAACATGAAGTTCGTGTAGAAAGTTAGTGAAAGTACAGGCAAACGAAATGAAGTATGTATTCACAAAAACTTGGCAAATAAGTATTTCGCAATAAAGTTGCTTACTCAGCATGCAACCAACAAAAACTTCGTTTACTATGTTGTTGGGAAAAGCCCCAGTACAAATCTGGTTCACTTCTAGTTCGGAGATTCTTGCATTGCAAAATTTTCAAAACAGATGTCGCCAAGCGAGAGTGGCGCAAAATTGTCAAAGTTGTTCCAGTTCTGAACTATAAATATGTTGAATCTAACCTTCGGTGGAAAGCCAATCCAGTCAGCGGCAACAAATCAAGTAGTACTTCAATAACTGGTATGAGCTGATGTGCTGGTCTACTAGCTCGGAAGTTTCTAAAATATATGTATACTGTATACCCACGTATTTTGGTTATGCGATTAGAGAGACTGGCATTCAAAGTCCAAAACTAAAACACAATTAATTGATCATCAGTATCGACCAAGCCGCTGTGCAAAGATAACTGCCACTTGTTTTAAAGACGCAGATTCGAGGTCTCTTGTAGGCGGTGAAGTCTTTTTTACCTCCCTTTTATTAGCTCGGGAATGTAACTATGTAATATTGATGCGCCTAAAAGATGCAGCGATTTCTATTCTCAAGTTACATACCAAATGACCAGGGAACGGATTTTTAGGACCTAAAAACCTATAAAAAAGGCAAAATAAAATAACGAAGTAGGCTGGAAAAGGCAAAACAAAATAGCGAAAAAGGCAGGAAAAGGCACTAGGTATTGCAAAAAAAAGCAAAATAAGAACAAAGAAGAAATAAGAACAATCAAAAAATAGATTTATTTTAGAAATGCTTATATTACAAGTAAAAAGAGAAAAACTATGAACTACATTATATGAAAAATTTGTACTTTGAATCTTTCCTCTCGAGTTTCTAACTCATAAAACTTTTATCTGTATACATAGTTGTAGTAACATTGAACCACAAGATGCATTTTGACGTTTTCTGGCAGCATTTTCATTCGATTTTCGTGAAGAAAAGCCTTGAATGTACTAAATGACCGCTCGACGTAAGTTGATACCAGTGGAGCCCAATTTAAATATGGAACGTTTGAAACGTTCGTATTATCAGGAAAAAGCGCGCTTTCCTCGCCCTTTACAATTTTATCCACACCCCTCCATTAGCTGAGAAAACGGCTTTGAATTTCTCCAACACCAATTTGGCAAGAGGTTCTTGCGCTTCTATTTTAATAGCAGGTTTTAGTTTTTTAAACTATAATTTTTTTAATGAAATGAATGCGTGTAAGTCATTCTGTAATTTTTCTGTAAAAACATATATACATTANACCGCTCGACGTAAGTTGATACCAGTGGAGCCCAATTTAAATATGGAACGTTTGAAACGTTCGTGTTATCAGGAAAAAGCGCGCTTTCCTCGCCCTTTACAATTTTATCCACACCCCTCCATTAGCTGAGAAAACGGCTTTGAATTTCTCCAACACCAATTTGGAAAGAGGTTCTTGCGCTTCTATTTTAATAGCAGGTTTTAGTTTTTTAAACTATAATTTTTTTAATGAAATGAATGCGTGTAAGTCATTCTGTAATTTTTCTGTAAAAACATATATACATTAGGGCGGATTATTTTGTATGAGATTTTTTCGACTTTGCGCGTATAGCACAGAAGAATGCTACTTGTAATTCTAAGGAAATTTGCCGAAGAAACCATGGGTCTAAAACAGTTTGGGTTTACAAAATTGCGAATATAGATATCTTAGCATTTTGCTGTAGTGACGTAAAGAAGTGGCTACATTTTGTATAAAAGCATGCTATTTCTTTAAACGTCCACCAGAGGGCGCAATAGTAAAACCTTCACATTTTCTTTGAAACCTGTTTTCGATATTGGCAAACTCTAAATTGATTTTAGACCCATGGTTTCTTCGGAAAATTTGCTTAGAATGGCACGTAGAATCCTCCTATGCTTTACGGGCATAGTAAAAAATTTTAACCGGCCTAATATACATACATACATATGTATATAATTTTGGTAGACATACATATGTATAACAACAAAATTAAATCAAATAAAAATTGTTGTTTATTAAATGAATTTAAAAAAAAACTATAATATAAAAGGAATAAATTTAAAAGTACATTAATATTTTTTCGCTGCCCAAGGATTCAAACCGCGGATCTCTCGCCTGTCAGTCATTTTGACCGTTCTAGCGATGCGATTAAATTAGTTGCCGATGCATAACCGGGCTACTTCGTACAACCACATGTGGCTTCTAGTCCAACATGGCAAAAAGGTAGAAGAACAACTTGTTAAACTACTTAACGAATCGGTAGTATTCTAGTTCACAACTAGAAGCTTTCGCTGCAGGGTACTTGCTCGTACTTCTTATACTTATGTAAGCAAATCTATTTATGCGCTACTTATTCAAACGCTATTTGAATTGGCTGCTTCGCCTTCTAACCATTTTTTTCTTTTTTTTCGAAAAACTTGCATTACTCGTAACTTTTATTTGTTTGCAATCAACTTTCTTCTTCACTTAATTCTTACAAGGTCTTCAGTTTAATGGTCAAATACCTGTCAAATACAAAAGTGCATGAAGTAAATTTCCAGCTAAAAAAATTAAAATTATTATTTAACATTTAAAGGTGGTGTCATATTTGAATACTTTGTATGTTTGCGTAATACCACTTAAGTACAAATTTTTTAAAAGCTTTCTTAAAAATGTGCTAAATGGAAAAGTATT